ATCTGGACACGGCAATCGTCACACCTTGAATATATAGTTGTGTGCGATGACCCGAGGCTGTTCGCAACGCACGGTTTTCCTTTCGCACGGAGTCGGCACCAGTCGGTGCATCGGGGGGAGTTGCGCGAGGTTTGCTACATCTGCATCGAGGAGTCTCCCACACGGCATAGAGAATCGTGATGCAAGGCGAAGGCCAGCCGAAGTAAGACTCCAATCAGCGGCGGAGCTTACTGCCAATACAAGTATTAATCCTAGCTGGGCTGTTCAAAGACATCCTTGCTTTCATCGGGCCTCCATGTATTTGAACAGCCCAGCAATCCCCAGCGTGGCCTAGCACGCGCTCAGACCGGCATTCCCTGCAAAGACCCTGTGAGGGCAGTGCTGTCGGAAATGAAGGAAACCTAGAGATGGACCCATGTGATATGGCCATGGGTCAAAATCCCGTACCCCCAGTGAACATCCCAACCCCCACTAAAATAGACTCAAACGGGTGGTGCACCTACCCCAAAATGGTACCATTGGTTTTGACCCACAGCCATACATGATATGTGTTTGTCCCTCTACCCTTTCCGAGTGGAGAAGCCCTGTTTCGCAAAGGCTGAACAAAGCCGAATTGCTGCAAATGTCTAAATCATGATGCGCACTTCTGACACTTGCCGGGCAACGAGGGCAGGCCATTGGTTCAACAAATCCGGGTGCTTTTGTTCCATGGACTTGACGTTCTACGGACACCTCAGATTCTGGCGGAGACATGCCCAATCACTGTTCACTGCCTGGTCCCTGGGCCGGGGCTCACCGAAGTGTGCTCATGCCCGGAAACCTTTCCGGGGACAAAGCAACAGATTAGATGTTCTTGTACAAAATGGAGCGTTGCAACGGTTTCCCCCTTTCAGGTCCCTTTTGCTGTGCCTTTAATTCTCGGGGGGCTGCAAAAAGTCTGAAGCTGCGAATCAAAAGGCAAAAGCCACTTCAAGAGCGACGATTGAAGCATTGCTTGGCCTTGTCCCGGAAAGGTCCACATGGGCAGCTCAGGGCCTAGTGACCGGGCACCGAGATTTGACGACCCTGATCAGAAAAATATCAGGAACCGTGGGTTTCCAGTATGCCGTTCGGTCGGGGTGTCGGGAATGTCAACGGATGTGCGGAAAAGTGCTGGACATTCCATCGGCTTTGAACAGCAAAGGCTTGAAGCAATCGTTGACAAGGCACGTCCATGGCAGCCTGGACCTGCAAGACTGCGTGCGCATGGGTCTGACCAGCCCGTGCACGCTCAACTCCCGCGTTTGACGGTTGAGTTGGGCTTGGCCAAAAGTTTTGGGTAGCCTGTCACGAAAATGTGATCCTGCCAAACCGGGCAGGTAGCAGATGGTGGCAGGCATAGACAAACTTCGGTGGAGCCGAAGTTTTTCGGGCCGCCCTGCGTTGCACAGGACAGGACTCTGCAAGGGCCAGCATGAACCAAATGCAGGCGTCATTGCTTGCTCTGGACTGCGCAGCTGACGCTGGCATAAACAGAATGAACAAGATCAACAAGTTGGAGGGATTTGCCACCCAATGGTATCAAATTGCTTGTGTGGCTTAGCGATGTTTAGGGTTGTGCAGATGGTGTTCTGTCAAAAGATCATGACCTACCGGATGGTTGCAAGAAGGTACGTACAATGTCCGTGGGTGGTTGCAACAGACCGGGCCAAAGACTCGTTGAACAATCTGATTTGAAGTTGAGTTACTTTTGGGGCCATGGCTTGTTTGGTCAACCATGTTGCTGGAATCCTCGGAAGCGAGCTCGTTCAAGAGAGTTTGCGGCTTGAAACTGCCAGCCCAGGCATGGTTATTTAATTCTATGCCTTCAAAAGTTGTTGTTTGTCTTCGCATTTTGCCCGGTACCCTTGTTGGTGTCGCTATGTCACTATGTCCCAGCCAAAAGCAGAAAAACAGCGTGCATGTGTTTGGCGTGTGACCGAGACGGGTGCCAGGGCCGGGCAGAAGTACCTCGCAGGCAACTGTGTCGCAGATTCGAGCTGCGGGGTCTTTCTGGGGATTCCTTTTGGCTCTGGGCATTTGGACCAGCGTGTTTTCGAAGTTCCGCATGTTGCCCAAGTGTGCCCCCCCCCATGCCACATACCCTGGGGGAGCTGAGTGTGATCAAAGGTGATCTGCGCGATCAAGCACATGACTTTTCTTCCTGATGTAAGACTCCTTTGAGGAAAACTGATCTTTGCCATCAAGCCTTTGATTGGTTTGTGAAGTTAGACGCGTGTGATGAAAAGCGACTCGCGACCAAGCGCAAGACTTGTGTTTGTGATCTATGACGCGTTGAAGAATAAGGATCTTGGCGATCAAGTAAATGACTTGTGCCATTGTAAGCATTTAATTTGGTCAAAAGGTATCTTTGAGATCATGCACGTGACAGGGGCTTGCGATGTAAGGCGCATTTGAAAAGAAGTGATCTTTGCAATCAAGCACATGACTTGTGTTAGTGATGCATGTAAGACGCATTTGATGAAACGTGGCCTTGGCGATCAAGCGCATGACTTGTGTTTGTTGTGTAAGGCGGGTTTGAAGACACATGATGTATGCAATCAAGCATGTGACTAGTGCTTATGATGGAAGGCGGGTTTAAAGACAGAAAATGATCTTTGCGTCTTTGCGATCAAGCACATGACTTGTGTTTGTAATGTTGGCGCATTTGATGACAAGCGATCTTCGCAATCCAGCATGCGGCTTGTGTTTCTGATATTGACGCATGTGGCGAACGGTCGTCTTTGCAATCAAGCACGTGACGTTCTTTGTGATATAAGGTGCATTTGAGTAACAGTGATTCTTGCCATCAAGCACATGACTTGTGTTTGCGATGTTGACGCATGTGATGACAAATGATTTTGCAATCAAACACATGACTTGTGTTTGTGATGTTGGCGCATGTGATGACAAATGAATTTTGCAATTCAACACATGACTTGTGTTTGTGATGTTGGATTTGATGAACAGTGATAGTCGCAATCAAGCACAGTGATGTTGACGCATTTAATGATCAGTGATGTTTGCAATCAAGCACATGGCTGTGTTTGTGATACAAGACGCCTTGAAGTAACAGTGATCCTTGTGATCAAGCAAATGACTTCTGTTTGTGATGTTGACGTTGACGCATCTGATAAACAGAGAAAGTTGGAATCAAGCACAGTGATGTTGATGCATTTGATGGTGGGTGAACTTTGCAATCAAGCAAATGGCTTTGTTAGTGATACAAGGCGCCTTTGAGTTGCAGTGATCCTCATAATCAAACACATGACTCTTGTTTGTGATGTTGGCACATTTGATGAACAGTGATAGTTGCAATCAAGCACAGTGAAGTGGACACATTTGATGATCAGTGATCTTTCCAATCAAGCGCATGGCTCTGTTTGTGGTGCAAGACGCATTGGAGTAACAGTGATTTTTGTGATCAAGCACGGGACTTGTGTTTGTGATGTTGACGCATTGGATGAACAGTCATAGTTGCAACCAAACACGTTGCAATCAAGCACATGACTTTGCGTGGTGCAAGACGCATTTTATGATCAGTGTTCAAGCCAATCAAGCACATGGCTTTGTTTGTGATGCAAGATCATTTGAGCAACGGTGATCCTTGTGATCAAGCACATGCTTTGTGTTTTGATGTTGGCGCACTTGATGAACAGTGGAGTTGCAAAATCACAGTGATGTTGACGCATTTGATGATTAGTAATCTGCCAGTCAAGCACATGGCTTTGTTTGTGATGCAAGGCGCATTTGAGTAACAGTGATCTGTGCGATCAAGCACATGACTTGTGTTTGTGATGTTGGCGCATTTGATGAACAGTGATAGCTGCAATCACGCAAAGTGATGTTGAGCATTTGGTGATCAGTGATTTTTGCAATCAAGTACATGGCGCTGCTTGTGATGCACGACGCGTTTGGTTGTGTTCGCCTTGCAGGGCGGCCTTGTTCCAGCTTGCTGCCCAGTGACCTGGGAAGAGCTGGACGTGTGGAGAGGTTGGCCAAGCCATCGGAGTTCAGGCTAATGCATTCGAACATGTTACGTGGCCCTGACGTTGTGGCAGAGGAAAAGAACAAGGCTCCCACAATGAGCAATCCAGAGAAATAGATCCTGGGGGGGGGAGGGGTCCCTAAAAGGCCGCGTTTCGGATTAGTTGTTCCGGAGTGCAAATCATGCTTTGAGTGGGAGTTCATTCATTGGGCAGTTCTCGGATGAGTGCCCCAGATGTAGGAGAAGTTGATTCCTGGGCGTTTGCCCGTCATGCTGTTTGGGGCGCTGGTGAGAATGCCAGATAGCTGAAAGCTATAGGGGTTCTAACTTCTACTGAGGGGGAAGTGATTTGCGAGATTGACTGCTTAAGCGACCGCATGTTAAGTGTTCGTCTTCTGGGAATATGAGGGCGCGAAAAGGGAGGCCCCCTTTGTGAGCTTGAAATCCTTGTCATTTTAAGCAATCTTTAGAAGCAAATTGGCTTTTTGAGGGAACCGCAGTTGTTTGAAAGCTTGAGGGGTTAAATCGTGGCCCTGGTTGGTTGAATGCTAAGCAAGAATGAAAGCCCCTTTTCTGGCAGGTTTTTTGGCTGGGGAGGGGGTACTTGTAATCAGGGGGCTTCTGGAGAGGCCCCAAAGAATGATTCTGGGTAGAGTTGTATTGGTGGGAATGGAGGGAAAAGGGGAAACCTTGAATCACTGGGGCTTACTAGTCTCCTGGTTGGTCAAGCACGAATTGGTTTCGGGATCCCCGCTTGCCCGGACCCCCTGGGTGTGGCCAGTTCCTAAAGCGCTCGCCGGAAGGGTCCGGTCAGGGGGACTCTTTCAAGAGACGCTGCAGCTTGGAACATGCAGCCCCAGCATTGTTTTTGTTGTTTCCATGATCGTATTTTTTTGGCATCTCGTTGACAGGCGTGTTGGCGGAATCCTGCAGCATTTGGCCAAGTGTTTTTTTCCACATATCCTAGGAGGCCAAGGAAAGGGAATTGCGTGCAATGGCGCAGTTGTGTTATGAGAACACGTTCATCACCGTGAAGGACTGCATTCGTGCGGGACGCCGCTCGAGGAGCATGGACTTGCCAAGGGTCTCAACTTGGCGAAACTGTCCGGAGGTGCTCTACGTCGCCACTCTCGAGCAGCGGGCCTGGCAGACTCGCGTGGCAGGGGCACGCGTTCCAGCACAGGCAGTGGCAGTCCCGGCGGCAGCGGAAGCAACCCGCGCAGACGAAGCAGCAGCCCCAGAAGCGGCCTCAGAAGCGTCCCCAGCCCCGGCAGCTGTCCTCGCACTTGACAAGACCAAGTCCTCTGGCAACGCTGGGCACCCAGAGCTTTGCTTCAAGCCGTGCCTCTTCCTGCGTATTGGAGAGTGCCCAAACGGCGAAGAGTGCAAGTTCTGCCACCTGCCGCACCCCAGCCCTGCCAAGCTGGACAAGAGGATGCGCGAGACGTTTCGGGGTCTGCCCCAGGCAGAGGTCCTCGCCCTGCTTCTGCCCCACCTGCGAGCCAAGAATGTGACTGGAGCTGGCCGCCTTCTCGCAGAGATGGAAGCCCGCTTGGCCTCTCTGCCACACGCCAGCTGCTCCATGCTACCTCCAAGGATCGTCCAGCTGAAGCGGGCCTTGGGCCGCCTCAGCTTTCGCCAGTTGATGTTGCTATCCCCTGAAGGCACGCATGCGCAAGCAGAGCTGGAGCATTTGCGAAGGCTTACTGCGTAGGGCTGCCTCGCTCTGGGGATGCGTGGGGTTACTCCAGGCTTGGACCTCAATCGCTATCTTTGTCTGAAAGCAGAGCTAGCGTGAACTGACATCGGCCATCCACTCAAAGTAAGCCAAGCTTAAGTTAATGCGGACTCCCGCTGTTGTTTGCTTGTACTAGCCTGGAGTTGCCGCGTGTGAGCTTTCAAAATTATGGATTAAAGGGGGGGCTGTGTACTTTACGGGTGGGGCGGTTTTCAAGTGGCTGAAACCTTGTGTTTTTACAGCTGGACAGCCCGAAGATGCCTTTCTTTCTTTGGACAATGCAAAAGTCGGACGCCGGCATTACCTTGTTGGAGCGTTTGCGAGACGCACCTGATGAACGGGCTTTGTTCTTGGCCTTTTGACTGAGATCTCACATGTTGCCAATGGGGGCAGAAGTAGTGCAAACGGTGAGTGATGTCGCACACAGCTGATGTTGGTTTGGGGTTTTCTGCGCACACATGGTGCAGAACAAGTCTACTGTTACTGTGAATGATGCTGCGCACACCTAGAAAACGGGCTTGGTCTTGGAGTTTCTCTTGGATTGCACATGCCGCAACTGTTAGTGACTTCGCGGCGGATTGGTAGTCGACATGCGAGTTGCTGGCGTGGTGTGTTCGAAAGGGCCTCTATGATGTTGGCCAACAGCTGTTTGTTTTATTTTCCGAACAGGGTGGCTGCAGGACATTGACATGTCGTGTGGTTGCGACAACCGACTGGCTGCCAGTGCTTGGACAGACTGACCGCTGGTTTGCAAGGTGGTGGCGCGCGCGGATCAGGTGCGAGGGCTGCTGCTCCCTCGGCCAGCTTCCCAGGTACCCGAAGGCCCTGCCCACGCCCTCGGCAGCAGCAGCAACCTCTCCCTCCTCTGCAGCCACGGCTGCCGTCTCCTCGATGGCCTCTGCTGCGCCCCGCTCCATGTCCTGGGCGCGCTGCCCCGCCTCGTCCAGGAGGCGCTCGACGTCGTCGGGTCGACCTATGATCTGCGGAGGCGGCTGCGGCTGTGTCCGCCATGTTTGGTTCAGACCAGTCAGTTTCAGCGATGTACTTTTCAACACTCAGCGCCCCAAGACCAGGAGCCAGCTTTCCTTAAACTTCTGCGTCACGAACAGCCACCGCCCTACAGGGCGATTGCAACCACCCACGGCAGTCCAGCTTCTCAGTCGCCGGCCCCGGCCAAACATCCAACAATCCTTGAGCGCAGCCACACCTCTTAGACAGCGCCCGTTTCTGAGGACTCCCTTAAGCGCCGACGCACAAGTGCGGCCAACCCCCCCCCCTCCCCCCCCCCGAAATTAAGCTAATCATCGGATGACATCTTGAAAGGATCTCTTTGGAAAACTGGCTCCGCTACCACAATTGAGTTCCAAACCGGGGGTGCCTTATCCCATAGGCCTTGTGGCAATTGAGAGCCTTTGGTGGTCCCAATGTTGCCACGCGCTTAAGAAATTGTTGTTGCGCCTAAGGAGTAGCGCTTGCGTCCCCCCCCCCCGCAGTGTCACTGAAGTTAAGCTAAGAAAACCATGCGCTTCAGCAATCCTGGCTGCGCCTAAGGATTTGCGATCTCTTAGGTCCCCCCCCTTCGATTGTCAGCTGATTGCTCATCAGATTTTCATTTCAGAGGGTGAACTTGCGGAATCTTCGCAGTGCGTAGTCATGTTTTTTTTTGAGGGGGTTGGCGCAGGCGACCCGCCAATGGGCGCAGGATTGGGTGCGAGGGGTTTTGCGTGGTCACTTTCAATAGCCTTAGTGTGTGGCAGGGACGTTTCCTGGAACAGATTGAGAAGGCTGAGCTTGGCCTTGCTCGTAGCAGGCTGCCCTTCCAGCTGTGGGTTGCTTCCAGCTGTGATTTGCTTTGACGAAGCTGACAAGTGCGCTTTCTATATCGCGGCCTGGTTTCGCAACAAAAGCTGGCATGTGCTCCGAACAGGGGCGCAGACACAGGAACAGGGCGCAAGTACGCGGGTGGGATCTGGACGGCTTAAATCCATAGTTTTGAAACTTAACATTGCCGCGCAGCAGCTTGAACATATTAGTTCTGGTGCTGGAGTCGGAGCCTAGCAAAACAGGTTCCTTGGGTCATTGCATGAAGTGGAATGATACTGGCAAGTTGTGTGTTAAGACAGTTTCCAGGCTAAAGCGGCAATCGGTCACACCTTGCATATAGTTGCGTGCACTGACCAGGAACTGTTCACAGCGATGCGTGGGCAACATGACGCACGGTTTCTCTATCGCACTGGGGTCGGGGCCAGGGATTTGGGAAGCTTGCCAAACTAGATCGTGCATCGCGGCCCAATTGGGAGTTTGCCAGGTTTACATCGATTTACGTTTGCTTCTTTGGTTGATGTCAGTTTCCCAGAGCCTTCGCAATCCCCATATGGTATAGAATTGTGATGCTGGGCGAAAACCAGCCGAAGTAGAATGAAATTTACTGCCAGTGCAAAAAATGTCAAGCCGAGCTGGGCTGCTCAAATGCATCCTTACTTCCCGGACCCCTCTGCAGAGGTTCTCCAATGGTGAGATTAAGGATGGGTGACGCCTCCATTTTTTGAACAGCCCAGCACTCGCCCCGGAGTGGCGCTCGGATCGGCTTTCCCAGCAAAACTGAAGATGCATTGTTTCAGCCTCGGGGACCAGGAAATGAAGAGAGAAAGCCGAGAGGAACAGGGAAACATATGTATATGTATACATCGTATAGCCAAACAGTTTGATTCTTTTTCCCCAAGCCTCGAAGTGCCCTGGTCTCCTTGGCTCGGACATGCCCTGTTGATAATTTACTCGACCAGCGCGTGCGTATCCAATTGGCGTAGGGGGAATGCGAAAACGGCAGGTTCTAAACCTCCCCTACATTCGCTGTTCTTAAAGGCGAACTTCGCCAATTCGTTGGGTTTCAGCTGAAAAAATGTTATTTTGCAAATGCGTGGGAAGCACAGCTAGCATGATACCCTTTAAAGGAACACCAGGATCAATAAACAGGGGGCTGCAACCCAGATTGCTTCGTAAATTGGTTGTTTCGTTGTTGGCGTTCTGCTATCCTGGTGTAACTTCAAGGGGGGAAGTTGCGTGAGTTCACACAGCTTTTGCTCCGAGCATTGGGGTCAACAGGTCAGGAACGCACGCGCAAGTTGTTTGAAGGTGAGACTGCATGCAGTCTGGCATTCATGAGCCTGCTTGTTCTCGGTGGGGATTTCTGTACACCCGGCTCAGAACCTGCGGTCCCGGCCGGCGCATCATATGTCCTTTCTTGGGCTATGGATGATTTGGCGGCCCCCAGGTAATCTGGGCAATGGTTTACTCACTGAAGCTAGCTGCACCTCCAGATTTGCATGACCATGTTCAATGTTTCCACACGAGTTGCAGCTTCGGACATGCCGCATACGTTTGCACCCTTTGTTTTGGGGGGAGGAGCTGCCAGTTCTTAGTTTGCTCCGAGCATGGGGCAACATGTGCTTTCAGGAGTCTGCCGCTTGAAGGATGGCACAGACGGTCATTGAAGAATTCGGTTTTCTTGCTCAAAAACCGGAACGCCGGTCACACATGGAACCTGCATACAATTGGCGGTGCTAGTTGCTTCAACGCCATTCCTGTTTGGGGCTTGAAGTGCGCGGCTCTTTTAACCTCCTGGACAGAAGTCGCGGGCACAACGCGAACTGAAGGGGCGTTTCCTGGCACTTTCTGAAACCCCGCACCGAGTTTACCGAGCAATAGATCTCATGTCTTCAGCTCACAGTTTCTGGAGACGTGGGAGGGCATCGGTGAAACTGCCAGCTGAGAAAAGGGACCCGTGCCAGGAGTATGGCACAGTCATTCTAAACCACTTGTGTTTTGAGGTCCAGCAGAATTTGGGTTAGCCTCTGGCGGTCACCCATTGCCCGCCTAATTGAGCCCGTTTTTTGTCGGGCAACCACCTTTCGAAACATAGTTCCAAGAGTAGCTTCCCCATTCCTTTCAGGGATCCTTCTTTCTAGAAAACCACTAAATACTAAAAACCCTGGGAAAACAGCTGCTTTTTGAAAAGAACGATGACTGAAAAGAATGGGGAATCAACCCCTAGAATAGTTGGTGTTCGTGCTCTGTTTCAAGCCGGATGCAAGTCGGGCATTGACAGATGTGCTCGAGAAAATGCAATTTGCGCTGCGCTGGGTTGGCAATGGGGAATGGCTCTGGAAACGGTCATTAACCCCAAGAGCCTTCTGGGGTCCATAATCTGAAGGTCTCTGCGGCAAGCCGTAAGAGAGCAGACAGAATGGGATTGCCAGCCTTTTTCTTCAAAGGATAGCAAAGGCATTTCTTACATACATACATTTCATGATGAAAGCGGTCTGTTTTTGTTGAGCCCTTTGGGCACTGGCCCTGGGGCCCCAAACTCGGCTTAATGCCTGCAGCTTCAAATCGCGAAGGGGCGGACCTTTGCTTTGTTTCTTTCATTTTCTTCAGGTGATTAGGTGTCCAGTTGGTTTGAGATGAACATCTGGTGGATGTGCTCTTTTCGTTTGGCTTCTTGAGCCAACGGGGAGTGACACTGAAAGTGTCACTCTCTATTGTTTCCTACGGAGATGGATTTCAGGTCCCCAGTGTTACAGGCATTGCAATCGACAGCTGGGTGCATTGCAATTCCTTGAGGTTCGGTCAACATTTCCAGCAACGCACTAGTTTTGCCATGTCGTGTTGTGGGGCGCACGCCTGATGAAGGGATTGGCAAAAACATACGGGGATTAGGGGGGGGGGTCACGCTTTTCAACTCAAATGAATGCGGATCTGGAAGATGCAAGAGGACTGCCAAGAAGATCAGGGAGGTGCAGATGGCCGTCCTGATGCTTGACAACAATTTTGTTGTTGTTTGTTTGCTGAATTGACCAGTGAGTCTCAAAATCCTTGGAGGAGCCTTCCCTGCAAAGTGGTGTGGGGGATTGATTTATGCCCCAGCAAAGGCGGCTGAGACAGACATGGTGGGAATGGTAAACTGAAAGTGACCGCAGGTATGACTTGATTCGCGGCATGCTTGGCGCGGTGAAACATTTTAGGTCGACGGTTCTGAGATGTTCTGAGCATCGGCTTCTCGTGGCTGACATTTTGGGTCCAAAGTGGCCACATCCGAATGGTTCAAATTCCCTTTCCGCATGGTTTGAAGGGAAGCCCCGAACAAGAAGGTTTGCGAAGCCCTCAAAAAGCAACCACTTAGGGACCCAGCGTCGACACTGCCGCAGGTGCCCTATTGGTACTGCCGCCGTGCTTGTCCTGCATGATCCCTCCCTGCTTTTGAGGCGCGTGGCTGACACTATATAACCTTGCATCATAGCCCGTAATCGCAGCTTCTTACTCGTTAATCCCTCCCCGTTTAAAGGCTTTTTTTGTGCAGGGTACATTCCCAGGTGCGCGGACAGATGTGAATGCATCAGGCCGTTCTCCGTTCCCTTCGGCTGGTCTCGTGCCGGCTTTGAGCCAGTTCTCTCGAAGCTGAAGGCGAGGCTACCCCTTGTGACGACCTAAATTCCAATGACCGCCGCGGCTTCGCAGCACGTGATCGCGCATTCTGATTCAGTGCCCTTTGCACGCACAGCGCCCCTCTTCTTTGGGGAAACCAGTTCGTCACCCATGGCAACTCGCTTTAGCTGTTGAGGCAAGATTCTGGAATCCATGAAAAGTGAAGCTCAGGGGTGTTCGCCCCAAGGCTTGGCTCAAACGTCATGTCGCCGCTGGCCACTAAGCATGGGAGAGGCAGCCAGAAGCAAAAGACAGAATAGGGTACTGAAGAGCGGGGCAGATCTTAGAGTTAAAGGTGATGTGTCAGAATTGCCTGAAGACCTGCGCAAGCAGCCTCAGCGTCTTTTTAGGCCAGCAAGCCCAAACAGCCAGCTTCTCAAGCGTGTGGCTATGGTATTTAGGGTGTCCTTAGCACTAAGTGGCCAGTCTCAAAAGTGAATCCGTCCACTTGTCCCAAAAAAAAAGGAACCGAGGCCTCTTGCGCATTTTTGCCGAGACTCCGCGCTTCGTGCTTCCTTCCGCCTCGCGCCATGGGAAGACAGCACTTGGCCAAGGCAGGGCATGGCGCAAGCCACTTGCGCCAGCGGGAGGACGGGTTCAGAAGCTCCCTCGCCAGCTCGAAATGGATGTGACCCCTGGAATTCCACTAGGACCAGAAATCATTGACCCAGAAATCATTGATCCGTTCAGGTGCAGCTCTTCCAGGAGTGGTTTCTGAAGAAGCACTCCCTTGACTTGCAGGACCCCCGGATATGTGACTCCTCAGCCACGGGAGGCCCATGGAGTGTCTCAAGCGTACGGTCGTACGGTCAAAGCAAACAAAAAGGCATTGTGCACACACGAGTGCATCAGAGTGTGAAATCAAAGTGAGTAAACCAGTCTGATTTTGGAGCACTGCCTTTGAACCCGCCGTGGCGGCAAAGCATGTCGGCCGTGCTGTGTTTGCAGCACCCCCCTGCTGGCCGACTAGGCATGCCACCATCAATAAACACAAGCAGTATTTTCACATGCACCTGAAGGTGTAACAATGTATAGGCTTGGATTTGTCTAGTTGCGCAAAAAAAACAACGACACTTTGTTCTTTGCAGTGCCTTCGCCGAACAATGCCGCAGCGTCCAGGACTTTGGGAGGAATTCCACTAGATAGATTTGCTTGAGGCTTTGGAGGTGCAGAGTTGTCAGCATCCCATCTCGGCAGTGGGCTGGGGTCACTTACATTCTTAAGCCTTAGGCAGGTATTTGCGGTGTTCCAACAGATTATGGCATGTTTTCAGAGGTGTGGGGCAATGTGTGGCGGGCCGCGTGACAGGCTGCAGTGAACACACTCCAAATTCTTGCCTCACTCGCGCCTTGCAGAGATGGTTCCCACACGGCCTGCACTCAGGGGAGGGTGTAAGGCACCAAGTTCCCCCAGACATGTTCTGAAATTCTTCAGTTAGCAAAGTATCCACCAAATGCCTGGGTTTGGGCTAGTTCTAGATCTTTGTTCGAACCCCTTTTCGGTTCGCGACATGCGAATAGGCCAGCCATTGCCCGTGGCTCCCACGACCCAATAAGTCCATGAGCCATTCAGGCAGGCTGTGGCGAAATCTCAAGCGTTGACTACAGTTAGTGTAGCGCATGCTGATACAGAAGGGATTGCTAGTTGCTTCAGTGATTGGGTGCACGAAGGTGTTTGTGGGATTCCAGCTGTTGGTGTTCTTGCTTGATTGCAAACAACATGTTTGGGATGCTCGGCCGTCGCTTGACAGCATCCCTTAGGTTTTTGCCTTGGAAGCCCGAAGCCGTCGAAGACGGTGAGGAGTTTGGCATCGAGCTGCGCGCCGATGAACATGGAGGAACTGGTGTTTATGCTTCCTGGCAAGGGAGGCGGCCAGAGCCAGGTTTGGCAAGGGAGGGAACTGAGTGGCGGACAAATCATTGTTCAAGTGCTGTCTTGACAGCGAGGCTTTGCCATGTAACAATGCCGACTCAGTTGCCCAAAGTTCCCCTTTTGACCGTTGGTCTACCGTTTGGCCTGCCAGCCGCAACAGCTGCAACACATGAGCCGCAGATTCCCTGTAGGGCCACTTCCTGTGATACCAAGTGAATCCCCTCTCAAGTGATAACATGATCCACTGGCGCGGTCATCAACCACTGCAGTATCATAGAAAGGGGCTACCATCTCCCGCAATCATTGCCAATTGGCAAGGCGGCGGGTCCAATGCTTGCAACAAATAATGAGGGAGAGTAGGCTCCTAAGCTCCCAGTGCCCTTTCTCCCACCAGTGGAGGTATGGGCGCCTGTCACGTTCTGCTTAGGGAAAGGCGAAACAACACCCTCCGGGCGCGGCGCCCCGGCGCCTGAGTCACTGAGGCGCGGCACAGGCTGCAGCCCGGCGAGGTCTTGGCGCAGAGACTTAGAGGAAGCTTCGGGGCGGATGGGTCGATCTCACGGCTGGCGCGTCACTTACTTTTGAGTGGTGAAGAAACCAATGAGCAGCTCGCGCGCGAGCAACCTGATACGACATAGGGATTCATGGGGGGTTAATAGAGTCGCTCAAATGACTTTTGGGCCAAGCCGGGAGAATAGGCTGCCAGGCAAGTTGCACTGGTGGGTCACTGGCGGTTTTTTGTGGGCTGAAAGGAGCTCAGCCATGTCTCTTACCTGGGAAGTCCGGATTTGCATGAGCCTTGGGCCGCGGGTGGTTCCTCTGGTTTGTCTTTGAAACCAACCAAAAGCGCGTTGCCCAAAAAGACACCATTTTACATGGCCCCCCCTCGATGCGCATGGCCATAGGCCTTTCCCAGGAAACCGCTTCTATGGGCCACACGGGCTCCCGCGATTGACAAATTCAAAAGCAGCAAAGACACAAAGATTTGGTGAAGCAGACAGGAATTCAACATCGATCCAAACATGGCAAGGGGAAAACATGTAATTTGCTCATCAATCTCCAAGAAAGCAAACAGAAGGGCTGGCAGGCGTCAGCACACAGCACCCGTTGGAGTGTCACACTGCCGTTTGGTTTCTGACCGCCTTTTCAGTGT